TTTTTCTTTGATTCTTTCCCTTTTCTAATAATGTGTAATATTTTGGTTTACCTTCTGAGCAGACATCACCCTAGAATGATCCACAATGCTTTCATGATCCATTTCCTGAGATGCAATAACTGATTAAGATAGAGCCTTTCAGTAGATAATGTCTAGGTAGAGTTCTTTTTCTCCATGTGTTTACATTCATCTGCATTAAAACTTATCTGCAATTTTCAATTTTGGTAAACCTGTGGCTTTCCAACAGCAATACCCCAGCTATGTTAGGCAGTGCTACATCCACTCTTTCTGGTTTTGCTGTGCTTTCATTCTGCTACATCATCATGATGTATTTGTGGCCTGTCTGCAGCTACCTTCTTCACAGTAAATCATTGGTGGTCATGTTTTTGGTGGTAAATCGTTTCTTTGTCATATTTATCAATCACGAGTAACAATTTCATCAGAAGATATAGTTCTTGCTATCCCAATGCTATTGCAATGCCATTTGAAAGAATTTCATTAAAAACCATATGAATTTTTTGTGTGTTTGTTTGTTTTTTTCAAAAAATTTCCATGCCTAATATCAGTGTATAGCAGTGAAGATATCTTATTTAAGTATTCTGCAGGGGGAAAAAATGTCCTTCATTAGTGATATTCTTACTTTAAGTGAATAATATTTAACACAGATGCATGTCAATCTCTGTATCTTTATAGGTACTATAAAGATAGTTACTAAGTTTTTACTGACTTTTTCCAGCTACTTAGGCTAGAGGTAATTTGAGCTAGTCAATTAAAAGTCAAATTTCACTGCAAACTCATGCCTATTGAGAAGCATGCTGTAGTCAGTCCAGGGATACTATATTCCACAAAAATAGATTTATATGATCATTTGTTCAAGTATGTCTAGTATTGTAATCTCAGGGAAGGCAGAACGACTATAAAAAAACCTCATCATAAACAAATACTATATTTTTACCTGTGATTCTTTAATGGGCCATGTCTTCTTATGTCACAAGCACTGGTTCTTTCAGACATCTTGTTGTATATATATTCTTTGTAGTTTTTGTAACTAAAATAGCCTTAATGAAAGGAATTGTTCTTTTTAGTTCAACATTAAAGTTTTGCCCTAACTGTAGATTTTTGATTCTGTAAATCATCCTTATAGTGATCCTTTGAAGCATTTCTTTTCTTTTCTATAATATCTTGGCAATCATTATCTTGATGGTTTCCAATAAAATCCCAACAGTACTGAAAGCCATCCCTTATAATGAGTTCTAGGAATACACTGTTCTGATTCTCCAGGGCTATTTTTTGTAGGATCTTGTTCCTAACAATTGTGCCAGGAATAATAGCCCTCATTTTCACCTGAAACCAGACCACATTTTTAATCAGATCCACAGGACATAACATACCTCTTGACTTAGCTTCATTTCACTGTCAAAATGCTCTGAGTGTGTCTGCAACCACTAATTCTTTCCCCACTTGATGTTCAATTTGCAAAGAATACATTTGTAGCTGAAAAAACAAGCTCTATTCTTAGCAGCAGCAGAATGGTTTGCCAGACCCCTTTTGACACTGTCAACGTGTGGTTTATAGTCAGTGTCAGCTAATAGTGGCCTCCCATAAATAAAAACATGAAACATTTTTCACTCATGGACTGAGACCAAAGCCATATTCTTTATTTCCATTTATTGGAAGCTTGGGTTTTGTTTGTTCCTATGATGATTATTCTATTGGGGTTTTAAGTTTTGACCACATTGTAAAGGATTGTGCAATGCTTTTCTTAGAGCCATCAGTGAACAAACTTGTTTTGCATTTATCATCATAGCAACTCACCACTGAAATCTCATCAACCACTCTAATTTCTTCCCTTTTTTAAGGGCCAGAATAGGTGTTTTGTCTCTATCAGGATACCAATTTACTACAGCCTGGCTCAAGGAGCACAGAAAAAAAATAACCTGTATTGACCATTTCTCTAAATATTCCCCTCGTTTCTAGGTAGGAGAGTTTTAGTGTAACTGTATAGCTTTTTGGAGTTGATATCTAAATGAAGGGTCCTTTTCGTGCACTGAATTGCATGTGCCTGGGCATTAGTTGATTCTCCTTTTTCCTGTACTGTTCTGAAGCAAAGAGTCTACTTCTTTACCTTCTTGCCCCAGACTTAGAGGGTTTGGTGGAATTGCTGGCATTTTTCAAGTGTAGAACATAGAAGATAGATGTGAACTTCCTTTTCCCCTGATTAGAATCTTGGAACATGTTTGACACAGCTGGTTTCCTTGTCATCTCCAGTGAATGCATCTGTTGGATGAAACGAAGGGTTTTGGCATGTTTCTAATGTGGTCTTTTTCTCTAGTACTATTAAAGGAACATCTTTTCCATACTGTGTAAAATGGAGTATAAATACATGACGCTGGAAAAAGATAATGAAAAGATATTACTATCATACCCTTCCTTTTGCTTTTTTCACACACACAAGTGTACAAAATTGACACCAGTGAAGCAATTAGAAAATCTGCTGCTAAGGCGCAGTAAAGCAGGCTGCAGACATGCAACAGGAGAGTAGCACATGGCAAGAGGAGATGGGCAGCAAAGCCAAAAAACCGAAAGCTGGCTGGTGAGTGAGCTAAGAAGGAAGTAGAATGGGCCAATCCTGGAGAAGAGCAGTGATGCCCCAAGGCATCATTAGTGATATTTTTACTTTAAGTAAAAGGGACACAAACACTGAGCTCTCTGATGCTACCCTGATTACAACTGCCATTGGATTATGGCAGTTTTCTTCTGTCCATAAGGTTATTGTGGTTTTTTTTTTTCCTTAGAGCAAATGTTTGATTTTGGCATCAGTTTGGCTTCTCCTCTTCTGACCATATGAAATGTAATGTTTCCCATTAGTTCTCAGGCTGACTGTTCATTTGTCATCTGCTGCATCATTGCTCTATGAGGTCCTTTGAGCTACTAGTAGGGTGGTGTTTGTTGTTCCTTCTCTGTGCATGTACCACAGAAATGCGTGTCCAAGATTTGTATCTTTTTTTTCTATATGCTTGGCATTGACAGTGCAGTTTGGCAAAGAATAAGCAGGGGTTTTTGTATTACCTCCTTGTGGAAGTTTATTTTGAGCTCTTGTATACTTTTCTATCCTGGTTCGCTCTTTTCACATATCTTCCTGGGCTTAGATGTCCACACCTAATGCATTTATTCTGGACAAGTAGGCTTCTTTCCTTGAGAAAATCTGATGGTTCTGTCCAAAGGTTAATTTAGGGAACTCCACAACAGTTTTCAAGTGTTCTGTCTTGCATCTAATTCGAAATTTATCATTTAATATGTGATATTGTTAGTGCCACATACCTTCCAAGCCACAACCTTCAGCTGCCAGGCTTTGTTCAACTACTTTTACTTCTTTTTAATTCTTAGTGTGTTGAAAACTGCTTCTTCTAAGTTTCATCTTCATATGGATATAAAGAAAAGAAACAGCAGAGGAAAAATTCAAGGTGAAATGATGCAAAATAAACAGCTACACTATTGTTTCTGTAACACAGTGTGTAAAATGAACTTGGTACTCTACTGCACTGACAGCACAAAATTTTAGCTTTCCTGATTTTTATTCTATTACTATTGCTCAGATTTTCCAAAAGTTATCAATTTTAGAAAGTTCAAAACAGAGGAACTTCAGCCTCCAGACTCTGAAATCTATGAAAAAATACATGTACTAAGAAAGCACCAATTTTTAGTAGAAACTGTTTCAGTCTTGTAGGTGTTCAAGCATCAACAGGTATCTGCTGTCTCTTTTTGCTGTCTCTTTTTACTGTCCCTTGAAAATTATATTTCAATAAACTTCCTTGTCTAAGACTGCAAACAGGAAATAAAATTAAACTTTGACCTACCAAATGATGTTGTTGAAAGAATATGTTCCCAGTATGCGAACATGAAAAGAACATATTTGTTACCTACTTTCTCTTCCAATGCTAACCTGAATGACCCACTCCCCTGCCTTAGCATCTTAGCAGAGAACATGAATCAGCTTCTACTTCTGAAGAGCAGTCATATGTTTTTCCATCACTCAGCACCACAGTTTGCCTCTCCATACAGCTAAGCCTGCTGACTTGAAACATGGAGTGATAGAATGGTTTTGGTTGGAAGGAACCTTTAAAGACCTCTAGTCCAACTCCCTCCCCACCATGGGCAGAGACATCTTTCAATAGATCACGTTACTCAAGACCCAATCCAACATGACCTGGAACATGTCCAATGATCATAGAATCATAGAATGGTTTGGGTTGGAAAGGGACTTTTGAAAATCATCTGGTTTACTCTAGGGGGATTCAACCCCTTCCAAAAATTGCTAAAAGGTGAGAGAGGTTAACACAGGCAAGACAGACTCGACATGAGGAAAATATCAAAATTTATTGCTAACAGGCTAGAAACTAAAAAGTAATAAAGTACATAGTATTAAACACACTTTTTAACCATCCCTCAGCCCCCTGAATCAATGCAGGAGAAGAACTGTCAGGGCGTAGCTAAAGGCTCTCTTCATCGGGGTGCGGGGCGTCTCTGATGGTCCTTCATGGACTGTGGGGAGACAACACGCTCCACCATGATCTTCACCATGGGTTACAGGGAGTTAAAGCTCTGAGTCCTTTCCCTGCTATGTGGGGTCCCTCTCAGGGGAGTAAGTTCTCAAGGGACTCCTCCAAGTCGGGTCCACTCCTCCCCTGGGTCGCAGGTTCTGGGGTTCGGCTCAGTCTCTATACCCCGATAGTTTTCATTAAAGTCCTACCCAGAAAAACCTGCTTCAGTGTAACTTCTCTCTCTCTCTCTCTCTCTCTCTCTTCAAGTCATAATCTTGAGCTGTGGTGGTAGTTGCGCTGGCTGTGCTCCTCCTCTCCACTCTGCTCTGCTCCGCTCCCGGGTGAGGGTGCACTCCAGCCCACCCGGCTGGCTGTGGGTCCCTCTGCCCCGGTGTCCTGGGCCGGACTGGACACAGAGGAATGTCCGGGCTCTCTGCCTGCCGCTGCCTCACTCCGAGTTGCTGCAGGAGCCTGACCCACTCAGTTGGAGGTTCAACCAGCCTGCCACCGCCTCTCCCCTGCCATGGTGGGGGAGGGGGCAAGGCCAGCTGAAAAGCCCCCGGGCAGCTCTTCTCTCACTCTCTGGAATTTCTTCTGTGCTCTGCTGCACATCCCGGCCTGGGCCAGCCTGGCTCCAGCGCCGTGCCTGCCCCCTGGGTCCAGCGGCTCCCTCTGCTCCTCTTCTGGGTCCAATTTCTTCTGCGCAATAAGCTTCTCTTCGTTCTCCCTAAATATGTAATTCGCAGAGGCGTTACTAAAGCTTCTAATGGGCTCAGCACCAGGAAGTCCACCTGGAACTAACCTCACTAACCCCTACTAGCCCCACTAGTTCCAGGGGGCTAGTAAATCCACAACAGGTTCCAACCCATTGCCATGGGCAGGGACACCTTCAACTAGACCAGGTTGCTCAGAGACCCATCCAACCTGGCACTGAACACCTCCAGGGGTGAGGCATCCACAACTTCCCTGGGTAACCTGTTCCAGTGCTTCACCAACCTCACAGCAAAGAATTTTTCCCTAATATCTAATAATCTAAACCAACTTTCTTTCAACTTGAACCCATTCTCCCTTGTCCTGTCTCTACGTGCTCTTGTAAACACTCTTGCCCCATCTTTCCTGTAAGCTCCTTTCAGGTACTGTAAGGAAATGATGGGGCATCCAAAGCTTTTCTGAGCAGGATATATGCTTCCGTTCTTACGCTAAAGACATTCATATTTAATTTTTATTGGTGCTTCATCATGCTCTCAGTAAAGCAACTCTTCTTCAGGCTGGGAGTGTTTCTTCAGAGGAGTGCTCAAGCGTAGGTCAGTTCTCCCATAGGGACCCACAAACACAGCTTCCATACAAGACCCCTCCACTGTCACCAAAATCTTCCTCTGGTTTTTGCAGAAAAACAGGTGTTGAACAACATTAGAAGCAGGAACTACTCTGCCTCTCTGCTCCACCTATTAGTAGAGAAAAACCTTCCTAATGTGAATCTAACCACTAAATAAGGACTTTCCAACCTGATACCTGTTACCACTATGAATTCCATGTTCTACAAGCATCCTCCCAGCTTCCTTGGGTGTGATGTCCAGCACTTGCAGCACCCTCTGAGGTCCTGCATGCCAGAGCCCTCCCTAGCACGTGCAGGTCTGGGGCTGTCATTGCACACCAGGGCTACATTGTAGGTAGTGCCAGCTGAGAGCTCTGGGCACAGATGGTTCCCAGACACTGTGTCCTACGCACAGATATGGTTGCTTGTACTTGATCTACTCAGTTACAGAGTGATTTATCTGCATATCTCCCTTGGAAATTAACTGTTTCATATATCAGCCACTCTTCCACAGGTAAGGAGTCAGTGGCTGATTGTGTGCTGCCATGGCCTCCTCTCAATGCATTATTGTTTGAACATCTGCCTGTTTAAAAAAACCTTTCTTGCTCCAGTTGAAGCTTTGAGCAGCATCTGGGCACAATGCACTCTTGAGGTTTGATTGACTCTTATGTCTATCTTCATCTTCTGTTGAATGATTTTACTCCTTTACCACCGGCATGCTCTTTGGAAACATCTAAAATTACAGCAGTACAAATTAATGCAAAGACCAGAGGGCGAGACATTCTCCCCTCCCAGCGGTAAGCTCAATATGCAGTGGAACTGAGCCAGCTGACACCACTTGTGAGTCTGGCAGTGCATTTAGACAAAACTACTCTTTCATGTTTACCTCTAAGAAAGGAGTCCAGGAACTGTAATCACAAAGGGATTTACAAATGAGTCTACAATCCTGAGCCTCAAAATAAGTGTTCAGCTGCTGTCTTACCCTGGATTAGAGATCACAGGGGATCATTCTGCCCCAACGTACTGAACAGCTAATCCTTCTTGAACCTGCCCCACTGGACCTCTGCATATGGTGCACTATGGGTGAGCAAGATTGCCTGGGGAATACTTGACTGATTGAGCTTCACAAAAAACGCGACAAGGAAAGACAGAGGATGCAGACCCCTTAGCTGTCATCATCCTAGCTTGTTCAGCACTTCTGCCACTACCTCTGGTATTGGACATCTGTAAGACAAATACAACTCGCATCTGAGGCCACCACAACCAGCTGCACAGAATAAGGCGGGAATATTCATATTCCTTCTGGGTCTTGTTCCACTTGCCTGAAGAAGTCAATATGCAGTACTTCAGGGAGAGAATGAGGATGAAATCCCTGCCCCTGGTCAATTAGAACATCCCACCAGAAAAAAAGGATAAAAGGATGCCAAGTGTGATGTATTTTAAGTATAAAGTAAAATAACAGCAATATTTAGGCTTTCCCCAGATAGGTAAGTATATCGATCACTAGTCTATAAAATAATTTCTATAAGACTGTGTGCCATTCCTGGATTCAGTTGCAAGTTTGTGTTCTATCTTAGCAACTATGAAAGGCCTCTTTTTTTTGTTTTTAATCATTACTTGAGTTTTATACATAAATGAAGATTAGCCTCAAATGATGGGGAACTAGAAATTAACTGTAGGATGATTTTAAACTAGTGAGATATCTTGTGTAGATCTATATCTTAAAACAACATTTGATATGTATAATTTTGAGTCTGGCAGCTCACCAAGAATTCTTTTTTTTCCAGAATTTAAATCCATTTTTCTTTGTTTACACTGAAAATATTCTACATTCCCCAAGTAAGTACAAAAAGCTACTCTGACTATAAAGCCTTGCAGTGGCAGCTTTTTCTTTTCTGTCACTTCTAGCAGTTAGAGTGTCTTATTTATGACTTTAATATAAATTTCTTCCCTAGTGTATTTGTCATTGAGGTCTTGTCGAAACTTCTGTTGTAAGTCATAAAAGTTCTTTATTCCCAAAGGTATTATTCTGTATCAGAATTTTGTCTTTTTTCATCCTTAAAAATGAAACTTAAGGTTTTCTTGATAGTGTGTATTAATACTCTCCATCTTTAGAATTTTTTTTAGTGACTCTTAGATTTTATGCATGTGCTTTACTTTAAACTTAGAATGAACTCAAAGAGATTCTAGTTTGTCTGAGACACTGGTGGGATGGACAAGGAATGATGTGTGCCCCTCATTTATCAAACTTTGGGCTGGAGACAGAGAATGATACCTAAGTACAAGCTGCTAAAGTAATTTGAAATATCGGATGGCTCAGATAACTCAAATGTCCTAAGGCATTTCAAGTCTACCACCCTTGAAATGTTACTAAAAGCCTGTGTTCAGGCAACTTCCTTGGGATTCCCACCCCAGGGAAGAAGGATTAAGACACCTGAAGTTAGGTAGCTAAACATAGGTGTTTACATGTGAGCTGAGTGCCAAGCTTGCATTATAATCAACAGGGCTCAATACAAACTGGCAGCTGGAGGCACACTGAGGCCGCACATCACTGCACATTTATTTTTAACTTTCATAAAGAGTATGCAATGTTGCTTGTATGTCACACTGGGGTCAGAAGAAATCACTCCTCAGCCAGAGGTGTGCCAAAGGCACTGCACAGTTGTACTCTTTTCAAATAAAGTGGATTTTCATGGGCATGCGTGTGCTGGGGGCCGGGTCGGCTGTAAAATTAGCCAGAGCCATACGAAAGCTTTGCACTCACAGCCCACAGTGCAAGATCCCATAGCAGACTATGAACCTTGCAGGCTTAAAATTCTTCTTGGTCCTGGCCATCATGGGTTCCTGGCCATCACACTTCTCCTGCAGGTCAGCAGTAGCACTGCCCCCGGGAAACAGAGCTGGGGGAGTGCTGGCACTTCCAGGAAGGGAGACACCTGCCACCAGACACAGCAGCATGTAGCAGGCACATCTGACTAGATAAAGCTCAGATATGTGTTTTAAGAATATTATTATTACTAAGATGATGAAGATAGTGTCCCATCAACACATTTTTCTTCCCAAAGAACTAACCAATTTCTCATATTTCCATAGGAAATGCCTTAAGAAAAGTGAACAGACTAAATAATTCTTAACAGATCAGGTTTTTTTCTAGGGGAATGTTGAAAATTGCTTTTAAACATCACCCACATCTATTCAATATGCAATACATTACAAGAATGTCAAGTTGTCACCACAGTGGCAATGGGAAGATGTTTTTCAATAGAAATTTATGCAGCAGAACAAATTCTGAAAAGCATTTTCCTTGTCTTTTCTGCATTGTGGACTTATTTTCTGAAACAGTGTGAATGGTCTCCCAACAATGAATCACAGCTAACAAAATTACTTGCAAGGAGTCAGACTTGGATGGCTTTTTTTCATAATGCTCCAAGAGTGAGACTTACTTCATAGAGGGAAAGAAGAGGAGCTGTAGGAAAGAGATTCCTTGACAGCATTGCTAGAGTGAGAGCTGTTGGTGTTGAGCACATAAATGTACATGGCCTGACCAGCAGAAAACACTGCCTTTGACAGAGCCAAAATCTGTGGCTGCCCATGAAGTATGGCAGTCAGCATCCAGTGATCCACTGCCACCTCTGCAACTGACATCGGAGAAGTCAAGAGGTTCTGACAGTGCAACGTTAAGTGCAAGGACAATGATCTATCTAGCGTCATTCCCAAAAATCGCATTGATGTGACTGTGTTGTAACCTTCGTTGAATTTTTTTTGGCAGACTGTAGTATTTATAAGTAGATGAAAGAAGAACAGGATGATGAGGGTATGAAGAGTAAGGCAGGAGAAAGGAGAGTGACAGTCAAAAATGAAAGAGAAATATTAACATTCTGTTGGAAACCATTCAAAGTAAGTTTCCTCCCAAAATTATAAGAATGATATAAGACTGGGTTTAGGCTCTTTTTTTAAAAAGTAGTTTGATGGTCCACTCTTACTGTGGGACAAATCAAGACCTTAAGCTGCTGATGTTGGGGATAGTTGAAATTTCTTTACACTGTGAGGCCAGCTTTACCTCAGCTTGTGTCTGTACTTTTGTGGGTACCAAATATTCTTTCAGAGTAATTTTCAGAATTTACTGAAAAAATGTATCTATGTATATAGGCATGAAGAGAAATGGCAAAGCTCAATAACAAATTGAAATAATGATTATTTATTGTACTTGCTGAGCTGGGTGCAATAGAAGTGCTATGTGTTAAACAACAACCTTGCCTTCTAAAAGAGGCTTCAGAAATAGGTATCATAACCCTATTCTTCATCTTAAGAGGGATGATTGCCTACTTCATGTTTTTTTCAGTGGCAGCAAAACTTCTAAACACAGATTTCCATTTATAATTGTCAGGATAAAATGGTTATTTGCAAGTTCA